TAATTTACATAGAAAATCTCTAATACATATTCTATCTAAACGATAGCACACAAATTTCCTTCAACAATAGGTAATATCTATGCCATTATTTCTATAGATTTTTATGAATAGTGAAAAACTAACCAAAGATGTATGAACACTCTTCGTGAAGCAATGCATTTGTAAGAACAAATATTGAATTCAATACGTTGACATATCTTGAAATGTGGAATGTAATGAATGTTAGTTTCAACAAAATATTATTTTATTATTAATAAAATTCTAGCATTCTAGCATGTCATTAAAACAAAATCGTCTATGGCTTAAGTATGGAATGTAGTAATCGTACGCCATATTAATTTCCATATTAATTTTGTACTTAATAGCAATCATCTAATTTATCAATTGTACTCAATAGCAATTTATTAATTGTACTCAATAGCAATTGATTGATAATTCAATTTCAATTAGAAGATTGTGTTTTATTATTAAGTAAGGAGATGAGATAATGAACAATATTCATATTGCTTAAAAATAAAGTAATATGTGATATCATCATACGAATGACTTCATAATTAGGAAACTGTTAACGAGTAATTACAATTATACTTAATAATTTTTAGTTCATTGGTTATAAATTTATACGATAGTACATTTTAGGGATTGCATTAAGTAGGAGTGGATTTTTTTTTTGAATTTCAAAATAGGATCACTGTGTTTTCCCTTAAATAATGATAATTAATGTCATGTTTTTGCACCACCTGACTAATTTGACTTTAACTCTCTAATATTGTACGAACTTGCTAGTAATTAACTCTATTTAGATAGGGAAAAGGTGCAAATAAACCCTCGAAGTAACCGAAAATGTGCAAATCACCCCTTTTATAGAAAGCTTTGTCCGGCCATCCCTATTTGGGGCGGTTCCCAGTTGAACTTTTTGATGATTTTTTTGAACATCTTCTTCATTAAGTCTAGTTTACCCATACCAAATTTCAGCTAAAAATTCAACCGGGAAGGCAGTCAAATGATTTTCTGAAATATACTGTGCTGTTTAACTGCGCGGTTATCTTCAAACATTTTTTTGGATGCCTTCCCGATTGCATTTTTAGCTGAACCTTGTTATGGGTAAACTAGACTTAATGAAGAAGATTCTAAAAAAAATCATCAAAAAATTCTACCGGGAACTGCCCCAAATGGCGACGGCAGGAGGGAGCCTTCTATAAAAGAGATGATTTGCACTTTTATAAAGACATAAGCTCATCTATTATTGTAGATGCAGTGGTTCACAATCCACACCACTAAACTGCTTTGATCACGTCATGTCTAGTAACTTACTCCCAAATGTTTTGATTTTTTTGGATATACTATCTTCATTATCAAATAAGTGCAACATGTTGAATTTTACACTATTCACATGTCCTACTTTGACTACGTTTCATTTATTTATGTATTAATATATATTTTAGAAAAATATATAATTAAATTTGTCTTATTGTAAAATTTTAAAATTTAACTTTTTTAATTTTGTTACTAATAAAAAATTATATATAATAATGGTCAAAAGTTATGTCTCGACAAATGTGAAAAGTTGACTGTTGCACTTATTTAAAAACGGAGGAAGTACATATTTGCAGTCAGTTTTCGGTCTTCGTCACAGAGGGAGAACTTCCATAGGCACATCCACTATAGATGTAGTTCGACGATTGGAAGGAATTCTTTCCGTTGCAACATTAAAATCACCTACGTCTTCAAGTCATCCTTTGAAGTTTTACCTATAGCAAATGACAACACACAGTTTACGTAACCTTTTGGCTCCATTTTTCTATGCCGATCCATGTGATCATGCATTAACGATCGGACTGACATCTGCTAGATGATTTAGAGGATTGGCCGGAAGTCCTGTTCAAGTTCTAATGTGATCAAACATTATATACATGACACACATTAGTGCTTTTCATCGATGATGTGTAAACGGAACACCAGATAGTGTTTATGAAAAATGTGTACAAATTGTGTGTACAAGTAGCATCTCTCAATTTGCATACACTTAATGCACATTTGTAACAAGTTGTCTATGCGCATAGATGTTTTGTGCAACAATTATTTGTGTACACTCACCATTGTTGCGATCACTATTGTTAATATTAACAAATGTTTAGATCTCGTACAAAAATTAACAAAAAACAGCTGCCAAATAACGAATTCCGAATTCTTGAAAATTTATACTCCCTTCGTTTCACAATCTTTGACTCAGTTTGACTTGTCAAGAATTAAGGAAAAAATGTAACTGAGGGGTAAATTTTACTGTAGAGCACATTGTTTGGCACTGTTTGAACAATGTTTGACACTGTTTTGCACTATTTTGGTAAAGATTTGTTTACCAAATAATGAAATAAGGAAGTGTGTCATTGATTATTAAACAACCAAAAAAGGAAAGTGTGTCAAAGATTATGAAACGAAGAGAGTAATGGAGTAATGAACTATAGAATTTATTACGGAGTAGTTACCAATTCAGTGATTCACCATGGCAAGTAGTTAACAAACTCTCATTTTAGAAGAGTAAAACAAAACATATGTGTTTATTCGTTCAACATCATACTAGATTAAACATTTTAAATATTAAAAATGGCTACAATAATGAAATGGACAAACCATATGCAAAAGTAATCACTTATAGGTAAATTTCTATCCAAACCAAAACATAAAAACTCCTACAATTGTTTATGTGTGTACATCAAATCAAAGGTAAGAGATGGGAGATGCAAATTATTTATGACATACGTATTTACGTACTAGTCGCTCATTCGAATGTCTCATTTCACTTTTTCCATCAGTCTCATTTAGATTGTCTTATACTATGCTCCCTCCGGTCCCAAATGAAATTCACACTTTGACTTCACACAAATTAAGGAAATAAATTTGACTTTATTGTAGAGTACATTGTTGTAACACTGTTTGACACTGTTTTGCGCTGTTTTGCACTGTTTTGCACTGTTTTGATGTAGATAATTTGCCAAATAAGGAAGGGAGAAGAAGTGTGAAGTTTATTTTGGACCTACCCAAAAAGTAAAGTGTGAATTTCATTTGGGACCGGAGGGAGTATAATATTTGGTAAAATTTATGTGACTTTAAATCATTCTTAGTTTCTTCTTACTTTATCAATTAAATATCAATCATATAAACCTTTTTTATTGGTTTGCGTGCTACTACCATGGTTAATGGAACAAAGAGACTACTACTTTATGTATAATTAAGATATTTCTTCGTATTAAAATGTTACTACATACTTCATAATACTTTCTATTCCCTAAAATTTTATTCAAGTTCATTCATGCATATTTTTCTAAAAGTGAAAATTTATAATTGTGGTTGATATATAAAGGAGTAAAACAAAAACAAAATTAGCCAACAGTCTTTCTTTGATTTTTTGGAATATCCCAAGAGAAGTAATGAGAAATTGTAATAATTTCAATTCATTAACAACTTCAGAGTTCAGAGTAGCTTAAACCTGTTAAAGTATGTTAGTTTTTTTTACTGATTAAATTATGTTAGGTTTATTTGCATAATAGTATGACTATTAACTACATTATCTTTAATCCTAAATTTATTTCTAGTAGTAAATTAATTCATTACCAAATAATGGTCATAAAAATTGCAAATAAGAACAATACGTACCCATCATTAAATATTATCCAACAGATTTGAAAACAGAGAAACATCAAAAGAAATATATGAAAAAACATCAGTGATTGTATCAAGTTCATGGATATAAAAAGTAAAACTTTCCCAAATTCAAAAAGATTTTTTTTAGTCCCAGTGTTAGTCCACAGGTTGTGGGGTAAGGGTCGGGGAACAACTTACTAATTAATAAAAACAAGAATAAGGTAGGGGGGACTAAAGTCAAATGTATATTTAAAAAAGATTTGAAAGTTTTGGTGATTTAAATTTATATTAAGAAACCATGTTGTACATAAGATTTGGAATATATCCAAATGTATTGGTACCTAAATTTAAACAAATCATATATACATACACACAATATAACTCAAACTATGCATAACCAATAACCATATCTATTATTCTACTCCGTATTACTTTAGAAGTTTATCTTAAATACGGAGTATAATACTACGTATAAGCACCGATGTAAAAGTATGTACTTCCGGGTAATACTTAAATTAGTTTGATAACACGTACATTGGCTGGATCAAATTTTGGTTGAAGTGATGAATTGACAAAATATGCTGAATAGCCAAAATATGCTGAATTTCATAAAAAATATATTTAGAACACTTTTTCTTAATGAAACAATGGAAACATTACAACAATTTCAATCACAAAAAAAATTCATTTACTTTTTTTGATCATTGCATAATTCAGAATGTGAAAAGAAAAAATATATGCGAAAAATGATGTTAAATTGAAAATGACATGAGTTTTAAGTTCTAACTGATCGAGGGAATATAAAACATAAATACTGTTGGCACACATATTTATACACATTTCAGTTATATATGTACATAGACAATTCATTCAGAACCTTCTAAACAAACAACTAGCAATAGTATGCTCAAAATATGTGTACAACAAAAAAAAACGTTTCACATATGAACATGATAGAGAACCACTTTAGGGGAGAGGAGGGAGGTCTTTCTCCCAATGATTCTTCCTACCTTCACGGAGTTGCTCAGCGGCTGAGAAGGGAGAAGATGGTAATGAAGGTAACGGGTTCGTGTGGTGGGAGGAGCAGCCTGAAAGGTGATGTAAGTCCTGTTGGATTCGTCCTTTGTAGCCAGCACTGACGAGGCTGACTGTGATTAGATTCGGACTTAACTATCTAGGGGCTTCGGAGGATAGTTCATAGACTCCAGGATTATGAGAGTGTAAACCCCGACACCTTGATTATAAAAAAAAAGATAGAGAACCACTTAGCCTTCACAATATGAATTTTCAGGACCCGCCTGTACTCTTTGTATAACATCTCACAAGTTTCATAGTGTTGTTACTTGTTAGTACATTTCTCATAATCTCATGTGGATATAGAGACTGATAAAGACAAACAGAACTCCCACAAGACTTTGGTTACATATTCCTTGTGAAGGAAACCTTGGTTATATAACAACATTGAAGACGCAATTCTCAAACCTCTCTTGAACCCAAACTTCCATTTGAGATGAGGTGACTGGGGACACCCATTCCTCTTAGCTGGGCCTACGCCTACCCTTTGTTTTTCTTCAGCTCGCGGTTCTTGGCCTATTGACCTACCTGCATCCAGGCGAATGCTTTCTGTCGTTTCCTTAAACAATTTGTCCCCATAGCTTTCTTTAATAAGAAACCGAGAACATAAATTTTAGCACTAGGAAAACGACCACTTTGTTCACATTTGGCTTTCTAGTAGCCTTTTCACCTCCCATTTCTACACCATGTGATAGGAGTGTGGCTTATAGTGGAATCTGGAACGGCTTTTCTCTTCCTTCCATCTTAGTCACCACATTTCAGGGGAAAACATTAACTCTGAGAAGAAGGAAAAAGGAAGAAATAATATCTGGGTTAATTTCAATTTCAGGTTCTGAGGACCTGGGGGTCGGTCTGTTTACTATCATATTGGGGAAAACCCCAATCTTGGTAGTTTATTCACCATTCTCTCTTGTTTTGCCTCTGGCATTCTTGGTTCTGCGGTATATTTTCAGGTTGGTTTTGAAATAATATTCTTTTTGTTGATATAATCGTTTCAGTGATGGGGTTTGGAGGGTTTATCATGGGCGAATCGCCAAGAGCCGCAGTGACAGCCTGTAGACACAACCTCTCCAAGAGGTATTTTCATTTTTCATTTGGATTTTTTTTATGTTGTTCTTGGAGGTTGAAGATGATGTCCTTTCAGAGGGATCAAAGTGGGATTTAATAGTTAAAGTAGATAGTATGATGCCTTTCGGGTCAAATATTTGAAGATGATGCCTTTTGGGTTGTGTTACGTTTGAAAGTTAACTCATATTGCATCATTCATTTATATCATATAAGACTATAAGTCTCCATTGTCTTGCCTAGGTTTCACACTTTCAATGTTTCAGACAAGTGGAGAGCGTCTAGTATAAATCATTTTATTTTCATGTGAAAGAAAAATGCTTTTACCTAAAAAGAAAGGTTTGACAGAATAATGGAAAAAAGTCAACTTTGAGTCCTCTAATACCTGTGACAATGACACTCTTAATATCAGTTTTTTTTATTCTTTTTAGTTTTAGTTATTGGCTATTGTGATAATGACATTTTTGGTACCTATCTTTGAAATTATCAAATTTTAAATCCTTTGACTATCTTGTCATTAAACGAATAAAAAAAATCAAAGGCAGATACCGAAAATGCCCTGTCACAATAGTTCAGGCAAAAAGTAGAACAATTCAATGATGGGTGCAAACGTGTCAATGCCACAATAGTCGGTGACAACAAGTGGAAAAATTCATATGAAAAAGCGCTTTTAACAATAATAAGCACCTTTTATGCTTATTTAAAAAACAAGAGGTTGATGCTTTTGCAGAATAGCACTTATAGTGCTTGACTGAGAAAATCCTTGTGATAAGCACTTATAAACTATGTTATCCCAAAGTGGCTACTTATATTTCAACTAATCAACTCTTATATAATACTTTGTATTGCGCTAATATAGTGTCATAGTGCTATGACTATTTAAAGATACAATGGAGATTTTTTATACTGCTATTTTCTTTTATCTATTTCTGAATTTCTTGTGTTGCTTTCTTCAATCAAAGCTTGCTGGATAGAAGAGAAACTGGAAGCTCTCAGGTTCCATTTGGTTTGACTTAAACCATTCCTTTTGAATTTGTGTAGTAAAAACACTCTCACAACTTATATAGAGTGGTCTCTTTTTTCACCAGGACACGGAGCACTCAAATGATTGCATCAGGAGTAAGAAGAAACAATCATCTAACTCCAAGGCCCAAAGTTCACTTAGGAAAGATGTATGACAAAAGCTAGACAATTTTTTAACTAATTCATATGTTGCTGGCAGCTTTTTGGGGGCAAAGTGAGAACTCTAATTTTATTCTGTGTAGATAATGAAACTCGAGAAAAGATTGCAGGACCAAATTGCTGTTCGGTGTGCTTTGGAGAAAGCATTGGGGTATAGGTGTACATCCCAGGAGACCACTAATGAAATTTCAATTCCCAAGGTAGCTTCTAAGCTGAAAACGGTTGCGTTTGAAACTATTTATTTATCCCTAAAAGCAGAGGCTGGTATGATCACATGAAGCTAATGTTTGCTAAAAATGCTAAAGAAGTGTCATAATCAAGATGCATATGATAGATTTAATTAACCCAGTAAATAAACATAAAAGTTCAATTATAGTTCAAGATTCATAATATTTGTACATTGGTGTACATTGGTCAAACATGACTGGATTTGGGATAGGCGCAGTAGCACGTACGAGCATAACAGCAGTCAATAATAATAATATTGTAACTATATTTGTTATGTGATTCATTATGTGTGTGTCTGGGAGCAGAATAAAGAGTATGTTTGGGATGAGTTGCTTTCAAAGAATAAGTACTTTTTATAGGGGAGAAGAAGATACTTTTACTTTTTTTAAAAGCACTCAAGAAGTCTTTATAATTCTAAAAGAGCACTTTTTTGTATGTAAACTAGATTAGAGGTTTTCAAAAAGAGTAAGGATATGTATACAGTTTTTGCTACATTCATGTGGGGTATAAATTTATGCCACACAAGCATGTAGCAAAAAAAGTTCATTTATCTTTATTGTTTTGAAAAAAGGGTAGTTTATGAGTTTCTAGCTTTTTCTACAATGTAAAATGTCTCAAACAGCCCCTAGCTGTGTGTTTGGTTTGTAAAGCTTATTTAAGAGGTTGAGACTTTTATGAAAAGAGCTTTAGCTTTTCTTATGAAAAGCTACTCTGGTGCAAAAGGCACTAGTTGTGTTTTTGAAAATCCAGTTTTTTACTATAACAACTTTTAAAAAAAGTACACCTGTGCACTTTTTAGCTACTAAAAGTAACATGTACAAGAGGTTAAAAAATTAGCTTTTCAGCTGATTGTGCTAATTACAAACATACACTAAATGAGAAAACACTTCTTATAGAAGAACTTATAGCATAAGGTCATCACATATAGGCTGGAAAACAATCTTTAGGGATTGTGATCTTATTTGGATGTCCTTATTTGATACCTTCTTATTTCGACTATTATTTAATTTAATTGTAGCCAGCCACAGAACTGATTAGAGAGATAGCTGTACTAGAGTTTGAAGTTGGGAACTTGGAAAAGTATCTCCTTTCACTATACAGAAAAGCATTTGATCCTCAAATCTCAACCGCCTCTTCACCTCCCGGAAATGATGACAAAATAAGATCTCCAGTAAGCACACCAAGAAAAAGGCTTGATTTTTCAAATCAAGAAGATGGCTTGATTTTACAGACAATATCAGACCTACACAATGAAAGCAATGGGACAGAAGAGGACAAAATTTCAGATTCTGCTGTTAAGCGGAGTCATTCCTCACTGTCGAGCAGAAATTCCCCACCGCAAGAAAAAGCCATCCATGCTTTTCATTCTCAGCCTCTATCTATGATGGAGGTAGTTTATGGATGCTTAGATTTCTCTAATTAATATATATAAGTATATCATATGATTCCAATGCATATTTTGTGTTACAAATACTAATTTATTGGAAAAAGTGATTATAATGAGATCAAATACCAGAAGAATTTGAGTCAAAGGAGTTAGAAGCTGTCAACTTCCTAACTTTCTGCAAAACAGAAAGATAACATCAAATATCCTACAATCTATGTAGTATATACGAATATCTGTCATTGACTTATTTTTTTTGTTCAATATGATGAAGTGTATGAATGAAAACATACAAAAGGTTTAACAGTTGAAAGCAAATACATAGTATTATTTATATGTGTTCCAAATGTTTAAAACAAAACAATATTTCTTATTCAATTTTGTCATTTTTACACTCAAACATACTAGACTGGTTATTTATTTGTGATTTTTTTGTATTTGATTTAGCATTCAATGCCAACTTTAACATGAAGAAAACATTTAAGCTGAAAGGGGATAAGAAATATAGGGAGGAAGTAAGTAGTGCGAAAAGAAAAAACAGAGAAATAGGTGAGGATTTGAGAGAATTAAAATTTTTTGGTACAAGAGAAATAGTGGAAATATTTGATTTTAGGTGGTTTGGTGTGCAAAGAAAAAACAATGGAATTGAGAAACTACACAGTTATACCTTACCATATTCTTACATTCTTAATCAGAAAGGCTAAAGACGTAAATCAATTATTTTACTGCTCTTTTATGCTAGACCTGTTATGCTTGCGTGGAACTACCATATCATGTGTCCCCCATGCAATGTTGCCATGGGCTACATAATTTTTTCAGGAAACAATTGTGCCATATCTTGCTCACCGAACAGAAGAAGTGGAAGATGAGAGTACTTTTCTCTGCGATTCTTTCCTTTTCTGCCCTATTTCTTCGGCTCCAAACAGTGGGTAATGGCCAATTTGCAATTGGAGGAAAACTTTAGGTGCATATTTGCAGCTCCAAACAGTGGCTAATGGCCGATCTGCAAAACTTTATGCCTGAAAAACATTAATTGGATATTTGCACCTTTTCCCTAATAATTATCGTTGGTTTTATTCAATCTTTTTACTGTTTTTATAATATTGCCTAAATTCAGTACTCACAGAAGGCTTCTTCGCACATAGTCAGCCTGGCAGAGCATCTTGGAACCCGAATCTCTGACCATATTCCAGTGTCACCAAACAGCCTGTCTGAGGAGATGATTAAGTGCATGTGTACTATATACTGCAAGCTTGCTGACCCACCAACAACAAATCAGGGCCTTTCATCCCCAACATCATCTTTCTCCTCACTAACTGCATTTTCTCCCAAAGATCAACGCGAAATATGGAGTCCGGTGTTTAGGAATGGTTCGTCTTTTGATGTCAGATTGGATAATCCTTTCCATGTTGAAGGGATGAAGGAATTCAGTGGACCTTATACCTCAATGGTTGAAGTACAATGTGTGTATAGAGATCATCAGAAACTTAGTGATATTGAGCCTTCTTTACAGAACTTCAAGTAAGGCCATTTTGTTACTGCAGGTTTCTCATGACATAGTATCTTTGTATCCCCTTTGGTAGCCAGTTCTGGTTTATTTTGATTATCAGCAGATTAATCAGAATGATAAGTGAATTTCCACTTCTTTGGTTAAAATGGATTTAGAAAATGCTTTCCCTTTCAGAAAAAGATCACCAGATTTCCTACTATTTTAATCCAAATAGCATTTACCAGGTCAGCTCTTAAGAGTCTAACTCCCAAACAGCCCCTTAGAATTTCAAATATGACACCGCATTCGAAACACACGGATTGCCCACTATTTCATTTTCATATAATCATATGTCCCACAAAATACTCCGGATTCTGTACTGAGTAGGAACCTTTATTCTTATTTTTCATTTCCATGTTTTCCCTTACCTGACCATTCATATTTACTATTTAGTTGCTCCCCATCCTCCCATAACCATTCTATGAAATTCAAGAGTAAAATTGTAGAGGTAGTGAATAGTGTAAAGAAGAACCAAAGACGATAAAAAAGTAAGGTTATTTATGTCTTTTGATATGACTGGTAGTTGCCAAAATGGAAAGGGGATCAAGTGTTCTCAGAAAGAATGAGGCAACTAAAAATAAACAGATGGATTATTTGCTTTTGCTTGAGAAACTGTTAACATAACAAAGGGTAAAAATGAGCATTGAAAAACAAAACCATTTTTTAGATCTAACAACTAACATAACATTCATTTCTTGATATGTGCACAAAAATTAAAAATAGGGTGATTATTGTTGTGGGACGAATGGAGTACATGATAATTATTCTGATTAGAAATGATAAATCATATGACAATAATGTAGGTCACTTATATCCCGATTAGAAGAAATGGATCCTGGAAAGTTGACCCACGAGGAGAAACTTGCATTCTGGATTAACATACACAATGCATTGGTGATGCATGTAATGATAATTCTTTTCAAATATGGAAGTGTTTCTTTTGGAAAATTGGGCTGATGGCTACTAATATTTTAGTAACTTTAGGCATTTCTGGCATATGGAGTTCCACAGAACATCATGAAGCGATCCATCCTGCTCTTAAAGGTTCACAAAACACACTGGTTTCTATTCTTAGCTCACTTTGTTTAGAAAATTTCTTATGGCTTTGTTATTCCAGGCGGCATATAATGTTGGGGGGCATGTAGTAAGCGCAGATGCTATTCAGAATGCTATTCTCGGGTGTCGAGTGCCTAGATCGGGACAGGTAAAGTTTTCAAGCAATAAACTTTCTTTAATTCCCACATCAGATTTTTCAGATTAGTGTCTAGTATATACTACGTATGTTGTAAAGCCTGAAGATCCCGGTGAGTTAAGCCTAATTTACTATGGTATAGCCTGGTTATGTTTTGCTTATTTGTTACCCATGATTTGGTTAGTCCGTGTAGGAGTAGCTCATTTATCCACCTCAAGCGTTGAATCTATAGCGAGAGTTATTCTTAAGAATGAATCAGTTTACATATAAATACATATGTTTTGACATTATTTTGTAATTAATATCTTCAGCATTTTTCTTATACATACATCTTGATCTAACCTTGATCATTACAACGTTCCTAATTGATGTTACCCCTTGTGTGGGTCCAGTGGATTCGCTTGTTGCTTTCATCAAGAGGCAAGTTTAAGGCCGGGGATGAGCGGCAGGAATATGTGATTGAGCGATCAGAACCACTTGTTCATTTCACATTGTCTTCTGGCAACCATTCAGATCCTGCGGTATATATTTGTAGCAATTTTATACTTCATCTGTTTCATGAGTATCTTGGGTAGATGGTTAAGTATCTCCTATAACAAAACTGAAAAATAAGTCAACATGCATCATATGGTTTATCCTGCCTAGTTAAGGGGTTGGTCAAGCTCAGGTCCTAGCCCTAAGATTTGGAATATTTTCAAGTCCCAGGCTTTTACTCGAAAATCTATATGTATGAATCACTGTTTAGGATTTTATCTACAATGTTACAACCATAGAGCTAGCTAATAGACAAAACATACCTACATGGTCATCATAGTCACTGAAAATACCATCATAGTTCTTGCAGTGTAAAATTGAACATTAATGTGATCACAGTAGTCACTGCACACGAAATGTCATAAATTTCTCCATAATTTATATATTAGTTATATATTTGCATTTTTCTTATTTTTCCATTACCACAAATCCAAATATTTAAGGGCCTTGACTTCGCCTGAGAATAGAAACCCAAGTCTTAATAGAGGTTAGATGACATCATACTTAAAGTGTGATGAAAAATGAATACTTATCCACTTTAAGGGTTGTTTTTATTCTCCAGGTTCGAGTATACACAGCTAAAGGAATATTTCAAGAACTGGAAACAGCAAAAGAAGAGTATATAAGGGCCACATTTGGAATGAGAGGTGACCACAAAATCCTTTTACCCAAGATTGTAGAGTCCTTCGCCAAGAATTTGGGCTTGTGCTCATCTGGTATAATGCAAGTGCTCCAACAGTCCTTGCCCGAATCCCAGAAGAAGTGCATTCTAGGGAAGTCACGCAAGAACATCGAATGGGTTCCTCATAAATCCGCTTTCCGATATCTCATACCAAAGGAGCTGTCTTAGCTAGTGGTTGTTCTTGCCAAGATGTTAGGGAAGGTATATATGTATTTTTCCATTGATAGAATGGAGATGTAATTTGTAGGATGTAAGAATGGATAATTGTTTTGGCACTGGATGTTCTATTGTGAAAGTTTTTACTTTCCTATTCTTTGCCATATTGCATATCTGAGAGTCTGAGACTATCCACCTTTTCATTTTAGGGCAGTATGTTAAATGTGTTTAAATTATTTGCGTTGTTCTATTATACTTAGAGTCCCAAAGCAATTGATTTTTATAAATGTGCACTTATTAATTACCAAACCTTGAGCCCGTTTGGTAACACTAAAATTGGCTGAATTGACTGATTATGTTGAAATTTATGAAGTTCTAGGTAAAGTGACTGTATTGGTTGATTCTGCTGATTCATGAAAAAATTATATTTGAAATATTTGTTATTAATAACTAAAATAAACAACTATATGAAAAAAATAGCTAAAATGATCCTTACGGTAATTTCAGCAAATACAACAAAAAAGTAACGTCAATCTTACTTTTTCTGCTCATTAGTTATTACACAATTCAGTGTACGAAATCAAAAGTTGCGTATCTGGTGAAACGGGCTTATATAATGACTGAAATTTAATACCATGTATTAGCTTAGTTATCAAAAACGATAGCGACCTAATGGTGTTAAATTTTGTTTTGGTAGACGTTTATGTGAAACTTCTAAAAAGTTAGAAATAACTTTTTTGCAGAACCCCCACCAGACTTGGGAATTGGGATTATTTTTGTCCAAGCTTCAAACTTTTTTTTGAACGCATACATGATTATGAAAGGCGTAATATAAGCTTGAAGTATTTTTAATCACAAAGTTTGATTGAAATTGAACTTAATTCTTATATGTATTAGTATTTGGTTTAGGATCAGTATAAACAAGCTCCATATATACAGAATATTACACTGAAAGTTTTATTAAAAAGAAGCAATCAAATTAAAATGTGACAAAAATGGATATGAAAATAATTCCAGTATATTTATAAATATTAAAAATATAAGAACTTAAATGTTACACTTTGAAGCAATATTTTCAATTTTTTTTTTTAAAAACAATATTTTAAAATAATACTACGTACTTAATAGTTTACCTTAATAAGTTACTAAGGCCATGTTTGGTTAGAGGGTTTTGGAGGGGAGGAGAGGAAAGTGGGGAATTTGTGTGTGTTTGGTTGAATGAAATAGGGGGGAAGGGGAGGAAAGTAGGGATGGGCTCGGGCCGGGTGGCCCGACCAGGAACCGGCCTGGGACCGGTACTGTTCCGGCCCGGCCCGACCCGGTGGCCCGGTCAGTGACCGGTCCGGGTAGGCCCGGCCCGTGGGTTTTCCGGTCCGGGCTCGGGTCACCCAAAACAAGGCCCGACCCGGCCGGGCCCGGTTCGGGCCAATTTTTTTTTTTTTTTTCAATTTTTTTTAACTTTTCGGGTTGGGCTGGGTATTTTGGGCCATTTGGGGTGGTTTGGGGGTTTGGGGGTGGGAGGGGGGTTAATTAGGAAGAAGAAAACAAAAAAAAAATATAATGGGCCTGGCCCAGCCCGGCCCGGACCCGGACCGGACCCGGTGGTTACCCGGGCCGGTCCCAGGTCCACCATTTCTGACCCGCCGGCCCGCCCGGGTCTAGGCCCGACCCGGACCTGGCCCCGACTCGAGTCCAACCCTAGAGGAAAGTGGAAGGCTTTCAAAATCCTCCACTTCCTAGTTCCTCCCATTCTAAACCCCCCAAATCGGGGTATTTCGGAGGACACATGTTGATAACCACAAACTATCTATCTCCTACGTGAATGAACAAAATGTTATAATATAAAAAGGTAAAAAACAAAAAAGTTTTGAAAAATTAAAAAAAATTAAAATTTAAAAATTAAAGATTTAAAAATTAAAAAATTAAAAAATTAAAAATTTTAAAAATTAAAAAATTAAAAAATTATAAATTAAAAATTTTAAAAATTAAAAATAAAAATATTTAAAAAATAAAAAATAAAAATTAAAAATTAAAAATTCCAAACCGAAAAATGAAAAATTATAAAATTAAAAGAGTAAAGATTCAAATAAAATAAATTTACGACTCATGACCATAGGAGTAATATTCACAATAGTTAGACATGTATCTATTTTTTTAAGTAAGCATCAAATAAAAGTAAATTGCGAAAATATTTTCATTAAACCTTTCCTCCTATTATCTCCGATCAAACACAAATATTTATCAAAATCCTTCCTTCCTCTTCCCTTCCCTTCCCTCCTTTGAACCAAACAAGGCCTAAAAGAATGTCAAAGATTATCTATAACAGTATAACTCAAGTGCTCCTATATGGCTATATCTTTCATGCTAGCATAACCATCTCCGCAAGTATTTTTTTTGATAGAAGACGAAATTTGTTATAGAATGAAAAATGAATTATGTACATTTAATGGAAGAAGTTTTTGTGTGGAGACCGGAGACACATGCCTTATTTCATACGTAGTACTACGCACAGTCGGATCTAGGATTTCATGGTGGGGTGGACTCAAATATTTAAATGATAATACCTTGAAAATTTTCAAAATAAGCAAAAAATCAAATATAAGAGACACATTTTGCCAACGCACAACTTTGATCAATATTATATTTAATTTTGTATTAGTAAAATATAATCAAAAATCAAATTATTAAATTTAGTAATGAGACAAATTCAAAAATATTTATAAAAAATAATAATTCACACACATTAATAAATAAAATGTAGTCAAAGTAGAGTACATGAATAGTGTATAAATTGTAATGTTGCAACTAATGTGATAGAGAGGATAATGATAATAAAGGACAATGATAATTAGCATGGTTCTTTTTCCATCCATTTCTGTCTATGCATCTAACAGAAGTATTCAGTGCCCTATTTCAATTTCATTGCTTTTTCCAGTTCGTATACGGTGCAACCGGCGCACCTTGAGCATGATATCACACTCCCAAAAATGACATAGATTGCACAATTTAAAAAAAATCACGTGAACAGTACACACGTGTACAAGAGTTGTTTTTTTTTTTTGCTTTTCGTCCCAATAGCATGAATGATGTAACTCCCGTGTAAAGACTTGTAACTCGCGTTATTGATCAATGTAACTCAAGTCCGTTCGAAATGTAACTTGGCAAATACATAATATAAGAAATAAAATATTGATTTCAATGTAAACAATGAAAAATGAGAGTCTAATGGCACCATTGCTTTAGGTAAAACATGAATATATTTTGTTTTTAATATCATGGCCATAAAAAATATTTTTTAGAAAAAATTATTTATTTGTTTCAATAGCAGGGGTTGATTTTTTAATGTAACTCATGTTATTACAAATGTAACTCGTGTTGATGGCAAATGTAACTTATGTGTATACAGAATGTAACTTTGTTTGAAAATTGAACAATGATTTTTTTTGTGTTTGAGATATTATAAACATTGATTTCAATGTAAACAATAAAAAATTGATCCTAATGGCTTAATTACTTTTTTATAAATAGTGAATATGTTTTATTTTTAATATTAGAGCAATGAAAATGATATAGCTAGAGTTTATTCCGTGGTGTAACTCGCATACATTAAGATGTAACTCGCTTATATTAAGATGTAACTCGCATACATTGAAATATAACTTGCGCAGAAGAAGATGTAATTTCATGATATATTATTAAATGTAACTTCAAAAATCAAAATAAACAAACTCAAAATGTAACTCCATGTATTAATTAATATATATACATACACACCATATATAAAATTTGCTTTGTTGCTTCTCTTTAAAAATTTGCTTCTCTTTGTATATATGAATTTTGGTGGGATATTTTTCACTTTTGTTGGCCAAAATGAGTGAATAGATCAGACAGCAGTAGCCCTAGCATACAAACACGAAGGAACCTGTCATCTATGTGGGTGAAACAAAAAGGACAACCGAGCAAGATAACTACGAACATGGAATGATTGCGGGCAAAGAAGATCACCGTCCAATCTTCTCTCTTTCAGAAGAGTTGCTCTCTTTTTCAATTAATTAATAAAACAATGTAGTTTTGGGATCGGCACACCATCAGCATGTTCATGTTGTGACGCTAGTGTGACGATCCCACCTTATGATTCGCGTGCTTTTTCTGTCCAACCAAACTAACGACATTATTGTCTGAACTTCACACAAACCGAGTTATGCTACAGGTACAAAAACTTTTACAAAAAGTCTTACAAAACGGATATGTGACATCATCACATTATTTAACACATCACATCACATTTACAACACTTTTACATCAATGGTAATTAAAATAGCCACATCACTTGTTTGTAAGTTTTTTTGTAAGTGTGTTTGTATTTATCAAACCTCCCAAGCAATCACTTGCGAATTTGGATCTTCTGCTTGCTCTCTCCAAGGTATTTCTATCACCCTCTTTTTGTCCAAAAGCAAATATTGTTGCTATATTATGTCTGCTATTTTAGTTTATTTAAATGTTGCTTCTGAATAAACAATCATGGCGATATTAACTTCCGCTTCATGTGCTTTACAAAGATACGTTTAGTAATGCATACAATCTGTTTGAGAAAATGCCGGTAACAATGTTTTCTGCAACAATGTTACTTAACTGTATGCCGACCAAGTCCAAGCAACGCAATTCCATGCCGTAATACTAATCAACGGACTCCACGAGCTTGAGTCTCCCCTGTTTCAACGGATTCTTCTCTGCAAAAAGTCACCGCTGAAGTACCTTTCACTATGTCAAGTCGATGCTTCGGTCTATGTTTAAACTCGACACTTTTCGGTTGGATCCACGATTCGGGTTGTCAGCGAAAATTCGGGTTGTACAATTTCTGAGGTATGGACTCATCCCTAGCACATTCGCCATATCATCGGTCCCCGATAGAGGTAAAAGTCTAGAGGAAGGGTGAATAAACTTTTAAAGCCTTTTCAACTTTAAAACGTTTCTCCCTCTAAAGAGTTGATCTATAATCTTTTGGCAGATTTATAGATGCACAACGGAAGTCTTTAACCTCTTAAATAGTGTATAACACTTTCTTTGATGGATGAAGTTTGGACTTGATAAGGTGAGCAGTTGGTTTGGCAGTTGGCTAGAAAGCAGGGAACTGCTGAGACAACTGCTAGTGAAATACTCAGTTATGATGACAGTGCACTCAGAATCTTTCCTAGAGTGAGAAGAGCTTTCTGATGATATAACAAGGTAGATTAATAATCAATCTTAATGAGA